TTTTTTTTTTAAATTTTATGTATTTGGTATAGGGTCTCACTACGCAGCTCAGACTCATAGTGATCCTCTTATTTCAGCCTCCCTAGTGCTGCTATTATAGGTGTGCACCACCATACCCAGTCTTGATGGCTGGCTGGGCACACCCAGGGCGGGGCCTGCAAGGTTTGTGGTATGGGGGATTGAAATTGGGTTCTTCTGCTTGCCTAAGGAGGCGCTTAGACTGCTGAGCTATCCCTATGACCATTCCTATTCTTTTAAGATCCTGATACACAACATAATAACTATTGTTATTTTCTAATTGTTTTGTTATTAAATTTTATTTTTTTAGAATAGTGTTTTTTATATTTTCTTCATTAACATCTATTTGTATTATTAATAGAATTAAAATAATTAAAAAACCAAGATAAGTCTGGTACCTAAGGCAGTCCAACTGAGTGTTGGGTTTTGGCAATCTGAATTTAATGCATGCTGAAGAGATACATTAAATTTTGGGAATAGTCAGCTATCCCCAAATTAAGAGTGACTAAGAATCAGGAAAGATATGAACCATCATTTGGTACACTAGAAGTAGCTCTGATCTAAGCTCCAGAAAGCCTGGCACTTGTCCTAGTTCTAACATATTAGGATTTAGGGCAAGTCATGTCATGATTTGAGGTTCACGAAGCTAGCTGTAAAACAGGAATGTTATGACTTGTGTCTAGATGTCCCCCAAACCTCATGGGATCATAGAGGGCTTTTATTTTATTTATTTATTTTTTTATGTATTTAGTACAGGGTCTACAGGGTCTCACCATGTATCTCAGACTCGCAGTGATTCTCCTGTTTTCAGCCTCCCAAGTGTGGGGATTATTGGTGTGAGCCACCACACCCAGTCTCATTTGCCCTCTGAGCACTCCCTGGGAGGGAGGGCCAGCACGGCACGATGGGGATCGAACCCCAGCCACTGCATAGGGGGCTTTTAAGAGGTGATGGAATCTATAGTGTGTGATGCTGGAATCAAGGGTATATGATTACTAAATTAGTCCACTGATTAGTTTATATAGTTCTGGGTGTCAGTTATGGGAAGGCTCCCCCTGAATGTGAGTGCACATAAGGGACACAAGGAAGGCTGTTGTCACCTTCTACTGTGCTACCTTCTGCCTGACATGAGCGATTTCTCCTCTGCAATCCCCCTCTGCCATGCCATCCTGCCTTAGACCCAACTAACTGTGGAATAAAACCTGTACAAACTGTGAGCTACAATAAGTTTTGTCTTCCTTTAACTGGGTGCTGGGAATTTTGTCTAGCATTGAGAAGAGTAGCTATATTAGATGAACTGTTTTTAACATAAGGTTATTTTGTGGAAGTTGAACATGTCAGTAGTGGTCAGCATAGGACCAAATCTTATCAAATAAGGAAACCCTGGGCAAGGACATGAGCTGCAGAAGACTTCTATCTACAATATGTGTAATTTTTAAGAGTTTCAAAACATACATACATTACTTAAGGGAGATATACTGGAAGACCAAACTATTACATCTTCCACGTTCTAGTTAGGAAACAGGAAGTATCAGGGTTATATAACATGACCAGACTGATTCAGATATTAGGTCAGATCAAATCCCCGGTTCCTCAGAAAACAAAACAAAACAGATATTAGGTCAGAAAGAGATGTTGGGTATCCAAATTCTTTATCACCAACTCTCCTGTGATTATTACCTTCAAACACCACCTGGTAGCTTACTCACCTCCAGCTGTATTGATCACCAAACCGGAAAACAATAGCTCCACATTCTTAAAGCCAAAGTAGAAGGTCATAGGCTGTCAGAAAACCAAAATAAGTTGATTAGAGATGACTGAATACAGTAAATAAGAACTTTAGGCAAAGAAGCCTCCTACATTTTAAGATAAAAGTCTGGATAAGAAGAGACACTGAAGGAATTACTGACATCAGTTTATGTACTAAACAAGAGAACTATCCTACACTTCCACTAACTTGTGTCTTTTCTTTTTTCTACACAAAAAATAAAGACCAGAACTTAATTCAGAAAAGAGTGATAGCTGGGTGTGATGGCACAAGCCTGTAGTCCCAGTATTTGGGGGACTGAGGCAAGAGGATTGCTGTGAATTGGAGGCCAGCCTGGGCTACACAATGAATTCAAGGCCAGCCTCCACTACATAGTGAGAACTTACCTCAATAAAAGAAAAAAAAAAATCCCCTCAGTACTAAAATTGTTATTTCTGTAACCCAAGTGTTTGAGAAAGGGCTTGAGCCTCCCTCCCGTGGCACTCACCATCATCTTCATGTTGCCATCTCCTCCACCATGAGAATGTGAGGCTGAAGTCGTTGGGTGATGGTGAGATGGTGGCATAGTGCTGTTGCTGTTGTCCATGTAGCTTTTCCCCTTATGATGGGAATGCTCCATTTTTTCCAGGAAAGTTGAGAGCACTGAAGAGCCTAATACTAAGGGTAGAGAAGTATTGTTTTTTGGTTTGCACAGAATTTCATCTAATTAATGAATGCTCTCCTACAGTGTTTCTCAGAATTATTTTTCAAGATTACTTTTGGGGACTATAGCACAAAAGATCTGTATTTAGGTTTTCAGATCCTAACCCTTCTTTACTCTATAATTCTTACAGAATTATTCTTTTATGAGATATATTTAGCTGGGTGTGGTGCATACCTGTCATCTCCACACTTGGGAGGCTGAGGCATGAGCATCACCGTGCGTATGAGGCCAGCCTGAGCTAAATAGTGAGTTCAAGGCCAGTTTGAAATAAATAGTGAGACCTTGTTTCAGAAAACAAAACAAATTTAATATATGTTCAAATTAAATACGAGATAAGGAGAAAAGCAGCTTTTAGGGGGTTGCAGGAAACAACTTGTAACAATATACAAATGGATACCATTAAATTTAATTATTCCAAGCCTTTCCAAGCTCAAATGTCAGCAGATAAAAAGACCAGTATTTCAGATAATTCGCTTAATTTGGACGGCCTGTGCTTATCAGGATATTCTAATTACATTTCACTTACAGGACAACCAACCTTCAGCTAATTTAAATTTGAAGAAAGGTCTATTGCTTCCCTAGGCAAGCTATGTGCTCAGACTTCAGACAGATATACTATCAATCTTACCAGGGCATTAAAGTTAAGAACTTGAAAAACAAGGTAAAAATTTAATATTCTATATTATATTAAGTCTATGTACTACATACTCAGCTTGTATCTTTCCTACCACATCACTACGGCAAAAGTCAACCTAAGACATAAATCTGTACCAAGTAATTCCTGCATAGCTGGAGTTGTGTAGGGTAGTGGGAGATGTGGGGTGATGTGGTGAGGAAAGTGTTAGTGGGTTCTCTTGATGTGTTCCTCAATTTCCATTTGTGGAAGAAATAGTAGCTTTGGAAATTCCAAGTAGGTATTCATGCTCAGGAGCCTGAGTATACATTTCATTATTCACTCAGTCAATAAATGTTTATCAAACTCCTAATAAAATAGGCTAAATTCTGAGCAAAGTGCTAGTAATGTAACAGTGAGTAAGACAAAAGTTCTCGGGGGCCTGTCCCTTAGCTCAGTTCTTTTTTTTTTCCGTAGGTTTTATTTTTCTTTCTTCCATAATTTTATTGAGAAACAAATAGCAATGAGATAGTTTCAAACCAAATTGGTACGACAGTTTCAATAATTAACACACTGCTTACATTCTTCCTAGTGGTTAATTGCTGTACAAGATGCAGACTTGATATCCTATTTACAAATACCATTAGAACAAATCCTCTATTCATTAAGAGAATGTAACTATATATCTATCCTAACCACTCTGAATACACAGATACAAAATGGACATTCATCTGTATTCCCTTTTTTTGTTAAGTTCCATCATTTAAATATTATAGGTGTGTAAACTCAGCAAAATATTCTAAGAGAGTTCAGTAGTCCATAATAGTATTGGGTCTTCCGCTTGATTGGCAATGTCAGAAATTGTTGACCTGAGTCCCCTACAGCTCAACATAACACCATGGCTTTCTTTTTTTTTTTAAATTTTATTTATTTATTTGTTTGTTTATTTATTTATTTATTTATTTATTGTGTGTGTGGCCAGCTCAGCCCACCAGGGGGCGGGGCTGGCTGGCATGTGGTGCTGGGGGATTGAACCACGGTCCCTGTGCTTTGCTTAGCTTAGCTTGTTCTAAGTAGGTGCTTCAGACCACTGAGCCATCTCACCAGCCCAAGGGCTTTACTTCTTATACTTCGTTTTTATACTTTTCTGCTGGATGGTTAAGACCAAGATAAAGCAAGACCTACGCAACAAGAGTTGTAGCTTTTGGGTCTGATAAGGTCAGTGAAATCCCCTCAGGATTTATCTTGAGATCCTCTACCTCAGATTGTAGAACCTTTGTCAGTATCAGCCATGTGGATGAGTCACGGCCATTGCTTGGCCAATGTGCTCTCTGTGAAAGCCTGAGAGAATGTTTTCTCTCCATGTGACTCTCCTTAGGCACACTCTACATCATTGATCACTTTCCTCTTTAGCCCCATAATCTCCTTGATCAGAAAATTTGGGACACTACTGAGTTACATGACATTCAGTTCTTTAAGTGGCTGCTTCAATAAAGCAGTCAGGCTCAGGTTGCTGTGGTTCAATCCCCACAACTCAAGCCAGCCAAACCTTCCTGAAGGCATTCGGAGCAAAAAAAAAAAAAAAAAAAAAAAGACAAAGGTTCTCATAGGGAGAGAAATAGACGTAAACAACAATTTTATGGTGTGGTTGTGGCATGACAACATCACTAAATTGTGCGCAAGAGATATGTTTTATAGAGGAAATTTATATATTCATGGAGCCATGTATCCAATTCAAACACAAATAGACATTTATTTCCCCTTTTACCTCCTATCCCACAATATTATGACAGTAGACTTCATAAAAAAGCTTGATTTCCAGTGAAAAGTAAGGCAAGTTCCACATTGAATTTAAACAACTTGTTAGATGCTACATTATTTTATAATTGTAAAACTTAATAATTCAGTATTGTTAATACCATTGTCATAAAAGGACTAGATTGGAAATACAAAGAAATATTAATAGGATCTTTTTTTCACCAATGTTGTATATCAAACACTATATAACAGGACACACAAAAAATAGTATGCACAAAATGTTAATAATGGGAACAATCAGTAAGTGGGCAGCAGTTTTTAGAGGAAATCATGATGGGATGGAGAGATCACTGGTATCTGAGTGATATGGTTATGATTTTGAAACAAGGAAACAAAGTGAAGAATGAAGATTTTTTTTGCCAGCCAGAACAACTGATAACACATCAATTAAAAAAAAAAAAAAGAAGTAGAATAATGAACTTTGTTCTCTTCCATTGAAAGCTTGGAAAATATTAGAGAACCACAAAGCGTAATTTTATTCCAATTATCAACACAAATTCTGGCCATGAAGGCACAGTGAATATTTATTTGCTGAGTGCCTTTTGTTGTAAGAGACTGAGGGAGATTCACAAATGAAATGTAAATAGTATTTCCTCAAGGAGGTTCAAAGTTAAAAACTAGAAGGGGAAATTGAACAGCAACATTTTTTATTTTGGAGTGTATGATAAGTAAAGGACAGTTTAAAAAAATCAGAATATAGGACTACAAACTACGTAAGAGTTGTACCCTTGATTTCTTCGGTGAGCACTTAGAACATTCTTCCTATTAACAATGTGTTTTGTTTTTTGGGTCAGGGTCTCCCTACATAGCCCAGGCTGGGTTCAAATTTTCATTGACCCTCCTGCCTCAGGCTCCCAAGTGCTGGAATTACAGTGCTGGAGTTACAGGCATGCACTATCATATCCACTCCCATTAATAATTTTTGAAGATACACAAGTCCTTTTTGTTGAGGCCTCTCAATATCTACTAGAAAAGCCTGTTCAATGACAATGTGTTGTCAGATTTCTTCAGATATATCAGTGACCCAGGAATTAATACATTCAAATCTTTGGAAAACCTTTCAAAGTATGCACCTATTTTATCTTTTGGTAGTACTGGGAGTTGAATTCAGGCCCTCAAAACATGCTAGGCAAACACTACCACTGAACTACATCCCTAGTCCCTATGCATCTGTTCTGAAGTGTTATCTGTGAAGGAAACTTTTCACATTCACATATACTAAGAAACAGCAAGAATAGAATCAATTTGCTTTCGTTGTCTGTGGAGAATAGGCTTCTGTTTTGGAATTCTATGCAAGGCTTACCCAATGGTATCTGAATACAAAGGTATATATTGGGTGAAAATTTAACATACAAGCATATTGAAACCAATCCTGGTAAGTCCCATTGCTCATTAAAATACTCACTAAGGGCCTTATTTTGGGCTGGCACTGTAGCTTAGTGGTACAGCCTTAGCATGCACAAGGTATGGATTTAATCCCCAGTTACTGTAGGGGAAAAAGCCTTAGTCTAGAGAAGTTTTCATGGTAATACGTCAAGCTTAAATGATTCCAAAAAGGATAGAAACTTAGAAATTCACTATTAAAGCATAATAAACAAAAATGATTATATTTCTCTACCTATTTGACATTTCAATAATGTGTAATATATACTTTTGTATAACCCACGTTTTAAAATAATCAAACACATCTAACCCAGTCTCTCCAGGTTAGAAATTCTATTTATAGGAGGTAAACATACACTGTTAGGTTTTTTAACTTATATTTGGTGCAGGGTCTACAGGGTATCACTACATAGATGAGACACCTGGTGATCTGCCTGTGTTCAGCTTCCCAAGAGCTGGGATTACAGGCACGTGCCACCATGCCCCGTCTCCATCGCTGTCTCAGCACGCCCTGGGAGGGAGGCGCATAGTAAGGCACAGCAAGGCACAGCATGCCAGGGATCGAACCCAGCCACTGTGCCCTGCCTAAGCAGGCGTTTTAGTGCACTGAGTTATCTGGCTGGCCCTACACTGTTAGTTTTCACCTGTTTCTTTTTACTGCTTTAATCTAGGATGATCTAAGCACAGCTTCTTAAAAAAATAAAAATAAAAATAAATAGGGGTGTACTCAAATAAGAATAAATCAAAGTCCAGGACACAGCAATATTGTCTGCTCTCTCAATTTGTAATCTGAAGAGTCTAGTTTAATTTCATGGTAATCATGAACTGTGGTTCCATCTTTGGTTCATTCAGGTTTCTCTAAATTTCACATCAAACCTTATTATTTTTTTTTCTTAAGAACTGTTTTCTCTAATTCAGTTCCACTATCACCATCTAAGAATTGCATTCAAGGTTCACAAGGTAGCTGGACTGTATTTTTATGGAGTCGAGGTTTTCAATTGCAAAACAATTATAATTAATGGTATTTGTGTTAAAGTAAGAAATGTGCCAGATGTGGTGATACGTCTTTAATCCCAGCAAGGAGGCTATGGCAGGAGATCACAAATTCTAGCACAACTCTGGGAATTTAGCAATTCAGAG